AACTCACTGAGGTCTATCGTTTGGGCATATACTCGATCCAAAAGCGAGGGGACAGTTGGGGATGTTCCCTCGTCAGCTTTTTGTACATTCTAAACTTTAATGTTATACTAGTTTGTAGACATTCGAACTTTTGTTTTATTATATTTTCGTCGTGCTCTTTTTTTTTTTACTACGTGTGTTATAAATCGAATAAAAATGTATATGAACTAATAAATGTTTTTCTTCGAAATATATTTAAAAGCCACTAGGAAACAGATTAAAAAGGGATCAGATGTTGTGATGTTGGAGTTTTGCCTTCACCTAGAGTGTTTTTTTATAAGTTTCACGGTTGAAATAAGAGCTTCCTACTTTTCCTCTTTTTTATTAAAAATCCTCTTTTTCATTTTTTCATCGGTCCTCTTTATTTCTCTTTTTTGTCGGACACTCAGTGGGAGGCCAGATCGACGGCAGTAATCGCTTCAACAGGTAGTTCAGAAAAAATGGTCTCCGAAGTATTTTCTTAACATCTCGTTTACAGCAGTGTTCAGATTTCTGGGAAAGGAAATCAACAACGTAAAAGAAAGAAATTTCCAGGTGATCATGAGTCTGAATCGTTTAATTGTTGGAACAGAGAAAAAGGATACCGAGTATTTTTTCATATAAATCAATCAAACAAATGAGAAGCAATATTATCGCTTATGTTTAGATGTGTTTCTTGGAATGAAAAATGTGTCAATTGAGTATCTTATTGTTCTTCACAATACACATTATTTGATCATCTAATAATGTTTATAAAATATGAAATTTATGTATATTGTACCACGTCACATATTTTAAACATCTATACAAGTTATCGGAAAGCTTCGATTTATGAAATCAGAATCGAAATCAGTGAGAATTGTAAATACAAATGCCCGATTTATAGATACATAGTCAGAATATGACAATTTATAGTGTAATGTCTGTTAAAAAAAAATAATGGTCGTGAGTATTGTTGCAATAACTCAAGAATGGATAGGACTGCAGAGTTGCGGTTTTCATCAGGTGAAAGAGTAGACATTGGAACATCTTTTTCTCCAATGTTATATAAGACGAAGTTATTTTCAAATCAATCATTTCTACAAAATATTGAAAAAAATGCATGGAAAAAGTCTGTTGTTCAGATGAAATTTTGTTTTTGATATGTGATTTAGATAGAGAAACTTCAAATATTCTAATGCTAAGCCAATAAAACTACCTATTTAAATCCTTGAAAAATACGAATTTTTCTTAATCTTTGTCAAAATTTGATCTGAACGATCGATCGTTTTTGTACATTTTTTCCATGTTTTGTAAAAATGATTGATTTTATAATCTTTTCGTCTTATATAATGTTGGAGAAAAAGACACCTCGATGTCTCCTCTTTCGACTGATTAAAATTACAGCTCTGCAGCTCTGTCCGTTCTTGAGTTATTGCAGAAATACCCACGACCATTATTTTTTTAAACAGGCATTAGTTCTTGATACGAAATGCACAGAGACCATTTTGCAAATTCCTAGCTGCAAAAAAGCGATTAGAATTCTTAACATCGGATTTAATATGAAACACAATATAATTGATGATAGCAAAGGAATGAAATGGCTGAAAAATTGATTTAAATCAATATCATATGTACTCTAAAGTCTGCTTAATTAAACAGAGAAAATTACATCTATATTAGCGTTATAGTTTGAGGTTTATCTATAGAAGTATACATTGTTCTTGTAGTCATTAATAAAAGTAATATAATGAACTTTACTATCGAAGATATATCTGTCATAAGTTTTGGAAGGTAAGTCCAATAATTCAATTGTATATTTCAACATTCCTTTCAATTCTTGTTGTACAAAATCAGTTTTCGATCAATAATCATATGTTTTAGAATATTCATTCGTGAGAATAAATGATTCTATGTAAATAGATCGAAAACATCTTGAAATCAGACAGCATACGTTTTTTTTCCTGAACCTTTTGACAGACATTTTGAACGTTACATAAATAACAAATCACATAAATAATTCATATAGCTACTTTTTAATGTAAAGATTCATGATTCTAATCCCAAATGTAGCTAATTCTTTCTATTCCTAATCAAACTATTATATATAATGTGATCTATTTTTTATAACGGGAAATTTCATTTCAATGTTTAAAACTAATGAGTTTTTGAAAAAGCATGTAACAAAGAGTGCTCTTTTCTTTCATGAATTAATTTTAATTAACTAATAGTCAGGTTTCTATGATAAACCAAAAATTTTGGTAGAACTTGACGCTTTTTTATCGAAATAAAAAAAAACTGGTTTCGATAATTTACTTCTCGTTAAGAAAAATCTGTATGCTTCGCTAAATGAATTTGATCCAAAATAATTGTCAGTACAGACTACATCAGCTCCTATTGAAAGAATATTTTCTCAAAGCAGTTCTGTAATGCGTCCACATTTTACATCGTTAACTTCAAAAAGTGTATGCTTGTTTACTTTTGTTTAAATGTAATAAGATTTTAGTATATTTCAATTACTTGAAACTTGAAAATAACAACATTTTGATGCATGACTTTTACAATACCTCGATCTCAAAATCGATACGTCACTTCTAAGGTCATTCATTAAAATTTCTCTAATGAGATCTTCGAATAGTGAATTTAATTATTTTATAGATGAAATCTACCGCGTATCATAAAAGTTATGATCATCTTTTAAATGCATATAACTTCATTACTAATCATTCTTTTTATAAGAACATATTAAAATCAGTGCAAATAAAGCAGTAATAAGAGATGATTCATGATCTTAAAATTCATTATAATGATAAAAATTGAAGTAAAGATGATAGCAAAAAAAATGCAAAATTTTTCATATTACAGACAAGTGTAACATTTTTTAAAAAAAATTTATTGATAAATTTTGTTATTAACAATAAAAACTTACAACTTTTCTCTTTCAGATTAAAAATAGAAGTGTTGAATTGAGCATAATTGGTTATAGGTTTTTATACATTTAAAAGATAAATATAACTTTTAGAACACTATATCATAATGATTTGATAAGAAAGATTAATAAATTTGCAACAGGAAGAAAAAAACGAAACATTAGTACTTCGATTTCAATAAGAATTTTATTGTTTAGTATTGTTTATTGCTTCAGATTGATAAAATCTTTACATTGGTCATTTAATCTTGTTTATATACAAAACGCACGTAATCAAATATTAATAGTTGTGTGTACAAAAGATTATCATTATATATATAAATTTTATATATATAAACGATGATAAACATTACCAAGAATGTGTATGAATATCGACTATAGAAATAGATTATAAAAAAAAGTTGAAAAAATTCATCGTTCTCATAGTAGTCGTATGTATATAATTGAAATATTACTTTTCTATAATGTTCCTTGAACAAATACTTGGATTGAGCTTGTTAGCATTTATATATTATTGAATGATAGATGAGTTCCTTGTCTTGCAATGAAAACTTTGTTGAACTTAATTGCTTAGAAAATAAGAATGGAATAATATGTGATATATCTAACAAGATTAGACATAAGCAATATTATTAAACATAAATATTAGAATACTTACTGTTATGTTCTTCTATTTCCAAATTGATTGTTCGCTGGAACAATTAAATGTCTAAAAAAAAATAATATTCAAATAAAATCTGTTGTTTTCTTCAGAAATAAATCACAAAAGTAATCTTTCAGCATATATAGCTT